TTTGTAAATGTGTAGGAAAACGTCGTGATGAAACTTGCACATCGAAGAAGGTTCACAACTCTTGGCAACATTTCTATTTCTAGATTTTGTAATTTGTCAGTTGTTCGTTTCGTATAGATGTATCGTCCATTTTGTTTTACTATTTTCTAGTACAACAGAACTACTAGGCGTGGCCAAAAAAAATCGAATAACTCTTCTTTCTCCGTTATTAAAATTCCCTCTTGAACAATAAACTGAAAATTCGGTATTTTTCTAATTAATTAACTTCTAAATTCCGTGACCAGCTATCGTATTTGTCATCGAATCCTCGAAACAGTCATTAATTCTGTTAATTGTGTACGCGAGAACTCGTTGCTTACTTTTTCAATTTTATTTTAATACTGTTGGTAAATAGCAAAACGTTACGTGTCGCTCGGCCTGCGAGAAAATCCAATTGGCATTAAAACAACTCGATACTTCAGAGAAGATAGGGCGTAAAAGCCAAACACTATGTACGAGACGAATATAAACCGTAAATGATTGTCATTAGTTACAATAACCCGAGACTTAGCAACAGATACAGGCTTAATGGCCACTGGCTAAACAACCACACGAAAGTTTTAAATCCATTTGAACGAAAAGCAAAAAAGAAAACATTTGTTTACCACAAATGACAACATTATAACCGAAACGAACCATAATTAAAACGTTTAAAAGTAAAACAAATAAATAATTACAACAAAACCACAAGGAAAACAAAACACTAACTATTGTGTGGTACCGGGGGTAACGAACTCGGTATTTGCTGACATTGCAATTTGTTATTTTGTTCCCAGCGCTGATTTCCAGTTCGAACCTCTCAAGAATAAAAGATTTATGAACATTTTACCAAATAATTTCAATAATAAATTTTTAATACTTTATTCTTTTTATATTTTTACGCCATTTCTTTTCCTAAGTATCGAATTATTCTGCTGTATTCTTTATCCTCTACTCCATATTACAAAGTGTCAATCCCAATTTATTTATCAGTTTTTGTTTCGGAAAGGTGTCCTATAAGTTACCACGGTAATACATACTTACTTATAGTTTAGTTATAACCTTAAAGATATATGATCTTAATATATGTGTATAATCTTATTAAGATACACGAATTGATAAGTTTCGTATTAGTGTCAAGAAGACATAGCATAATCGAATGAACATATCAATTTTCAAGAATGCATACAATTTCGATTGCGATTTGATAAACCAAAATATATTTTCACGGAATTCTTTTTATCGTCAAAAACAATTGTTTCGTATCAGTTTCCACGCTTGCTTAAAAAGAAACTCGTATTTTAACTGCATTGTTTTACCATACCTAGTTCCCATGTTTTCTGTCGGTCATTTACCCAGACTTACCAAACGTTTTTAAAGGTTTAATTTTTATTTAGGTTGTGGGAAACGTTACATAATTAATTTTATTTATTTATTCAGTTGCTCCGTCGACTATCTAAAAAATGAAAAAACTTACCATTTTAAAATTTATTAGCTGCACGAATCTAACTAATGGACACTTTCTGTATTTGGTTGACAACAACTTATGTTTTACTGCAAGAATTCGTAATATCCTCATCTTGTTTCTAAATACCTTCCAACAGACTTCCATCCCATTTAATTGTCCTGTCCACAAATTCCTGATCCGCCTCCTCTCTTCCCAGGTTAGCAAACCTCCAGACGATCCTTACAAATATGCTGACTTCTGGGACCCTCACGAACTACATATACCACGGTGATGGCCAGGTCCTGGTCAAGTTGTGGCGTAAGACCGCTCATATGACAGGCCCGATGGTCTATGACATACCACCGGAGCATATGGCATGGTATTTAGAGGCTAAAGCGTTTAAGGGGTTCGTTCTCACTTGTTGCTACTTGAACTTGGTAGGTAGTTTGTGTTTACTTGATTGAAATTAGGCTTTTCTTTGGCATCGCGTAGCCTCTCATTTCATTCTTAAAGAGTAGTCAAAACAATGCATCTGTACGTGACGGCTACACATACTATGAGATAACTATGAGATTATCCAGATTGCGTGATTGACGCGGACATTGTCTCTGTCATGTGTTTACAGAGCCTTTAGATAAATACATATCTGTTGCTGATACTAATCTTCGTTCACCAGCGGATCATCCTCAATCCGCAGGTGAACGAAGATCTCGTTGGGCCACAACGTAACTCGTGTCCTCCGAACCCAGTCACTTCCGGCCAACATTCTAATATGTATATGTACTAAATTGTTTTTTTAACGCTTTACACTTCGATTTTCACCATGTCTTATTTATCCTATGCGATTTTGGATGGAATTGAGTGAGATTTGGTAATTAGATAATTGAATGTTAAAACTACAGGCACATGGCACATGACAACTTTATGTCTCAGTATGACGGGTGCAGTGACAGTGCATCTGTTATGGATAGGCATATCGCGTACCACCAGGCCTACGACTTGTTCTTCCTTCAGTCTACTTCCGTTCTCCGTCTGTCATCCGTCAGAAACAATTACTGTCAGATAAGTAATGCGCCACCAAATCAAAAGACAATATCGAGTATGAAGCTTCATTCAAGTTATACCTAGCTCAGGAACCACTTCATTATTATGTTGTAAACTATTTTGTGAAATAAACATTATTATTATGTTTATTTTAGACTCTCGCTTCTCTCAAGGCCTAAAAGATTAATATTGAATTTTTAAATGGGAGAGGCGGTATTTCCCGGCAATGGCATAGTCGGCCGGGGTGCCGGCGAACAATACGTGCCGTATCGAGCAGGACTGGCCTTCTGCATTTGTGCTGGAAGCGACAAGCCACAGAAATCCAACCGCCTCAAGCCGTTAGAAAGGCTGACTGGAATTAACCCATTTGCGCACAAAACAATTGGGATTATTTCAGTGGAGGCCACATCCCACATGTCGGTGATGTCATGCGGGATGGTAACGTCCACAAGAAATGTCCTCGGCTGCGATCGATCCAATATCACAATATCAGGCTTATTCGCAAGAATAGTCCTGTCCGTCATAATGGATCGATCCTAATAGATTTTGGTGCGGTCATCTTCGAGTATTTGCTCCGGTGAATACTGTAATATGGCAACCTCTGTTGCACGAGTCCGTATTTCAGAGCGAGCTCTTTCTGTTTCTTGGTGTACTATTTTGGCTGCCTGGTTGTGTCTGTACAAGTACTCAGTGTTATCAAGAACGGACAACCGGAAACAATATGCCACGTGACTCCGGGACGGCCACATGCCCGACAAATGTCTACTGTAGCGTCCTTTAAGATATATTATTATTCGCATCAGGCGTCGAGTATTACTTATTTGACGTACGGAGAATGGGAGTAGACCCCTCGGATCGGAAGAGGAAACTTCGCCCGCTCCGACCCATATTTGTGCCATCCGGCACCCTCCTCACCTCCCCTCTGTACTCCTTCCATTAATTATCATATTCTAACATGTCGTAAGTGACGGTATCAAATAGAATTTTATTATCTTATCTAGTTGTACTTTAAGTAGTAAACTTGAAACCAATTCTCGTATAGTCTTAGTTATCAGTAAATTTATGAATGCACTTCTTGTTTATACACTAATTAATCTTTGCACTTAACCTTCACCCGAGATAATAATGGTTTACATAACCACGACGTTGTCTTAAGTAGTATTTTGTAGTCGGACTAAGATAAAATGCTATTTCTAATGTTTCATCTTTGAACACGATCATTTATCTTCTTAACAACATGATCAACCCATTTTGCTGCCCACGGCTGGGCCGATCTGCCTGCAACACCGCTCATTGTCTTAGGGTCGTATTCCAGAACTACTCAATGCTCAAGTCAGGATTTGATCAGACTTGAGTATGATTTCAAGCACTGGAAATACGACCCTAATGGCAAGGACTTGAGTATGATTTTCAGTGCTCACTACAATACTCAAATCCTGACTTGAGCATTGAGTAGAGTTCTAGAATACAACCCTTAGCGTCGTCTTTAAGGGCACCTTCAAATTAGATGCTAATAGAAGTGCTGCTGTGGCGCGACTGTGGTGACGCGGCAGCCGCGTGTTACCAATCTGTTTCTTTATTAATTGTGACTGCAAAGGTGGCACGACAGTAGTGCTGCGACTGTTCTTCTAGATATTGTGTGAAAATAAGTAGTGACGCGGACGCAGCGCGCCTTTATTTTTACACCCTGTGTATGAGATTCTCGATAACCTACAAATATATTTTAGCGCATTTAAAAGTTTGAAACAGGGTTTTTAATAAATTAAATTTAAATTAAAATAAATTATCAAGATATATATATTTTCTTTGAAATAATTATTCGATAATTAGCCATGCTCACTCATAGTTTTTTTCTAAAATTAGCAAACGGAGAAAACTAAATAAACACGAAGAAAAATGTTTGGAGGAACGATTTGAATTGGGTCTTTTTTTTGAGAATGTCACTTGACACGTTTGGATCCATCTCTGATACAAACTCATGGTACGACATGGCTAGCGGTATTATTTTGTTGTTCCAATTAATTTTATAAATATTAAGATTATCGCTTTATTATTATCGCTTCGGACCCTGATTTAGAATAATGATAATCTCCCTTGTAAGGCTGCTAATAAATTGACGGCATATTTGCAGTTAATGCGTGAATTTGAAGCTAATTACTACAATTAGCTTCATGCAGTATCACGTTCACGAGGTATCGGATAACGACTTGACGCATTAACTGCAAACATGTAGTCAATCTAAGAAGTTAGCAGCTTAAGAAGAAAAGTAGAAGATTGTCCCAGTAAAAAGGAAAGGAGTATATTTACAACGAGATCGCTATTTGAACCCAAATTATAGTCTACATTTAAATGGAATTAATTAATCGCTATGCACTATCTGCAACATCTTGATAAGGCTGCCCATTGTGTACACTTTGTACTGTATCTATTGTATTTTGTTAGTGCATGCAATAAAATATACCGTACGTAATACTATTCGCATGAATTGCAGCTTCAACAAAATGCCCCTGCAGCTGACCAAGCCCGCGCCCCAGTGGAAGACCACAGCCGTTGTCAATGGCGAATTCAAGGATATTTCGCTCGCTGACTACAAAGGCAAATACGTAGTGCTGTTTTTCTACCCACTCGACTTGTAAGTAGTCACACGTTGTCTCGATTGTAATGTAACAAACAAACCTCTAGGCGTTTCTTTCCCTCAAGACAGAAAGACACTATTTCGCTTAGTTGGTATAATGAATCGAAGGAATTTTTTCTGAGGGTTCGTATTAATAATTTCTTAATTTAATCTTTGTATTAATAATTATAACAAACTAGTGGAATAATTTCACAAAAAATAATTGAATATCAATTCAATTAAAATTTAAAATACAGTGAATAGCGACATCTCTCGCCAGGGCTGGTAACTGTAAAGATATCTAACTGGGCGATAACACTTTCATAGATTTCTCATAGATGGCGCTACGACTAAAAAGTCGTCGAAAAAACCAAATACAAAGATACGACGCAAGCACATAGAAAAATTCGTGAGGTTCGCTGGTTCGTTCCGTTGCTTAGTTGGTATAGCGTCAGGCACGGTAAGCTAGAAGACGTCGGTTCGAGTCCGGCCGGATCGAAGGAATTTTTCAGTGTTCGATCTTTGTATTAATAATTACAACACTAATTCGTGTTACCCATTTGCTGAGTCCCTGCCTGTCATGCCCCTTTCGCTTCGTACATTACCTGACCAGTGTCAATTGTCTAAAAAGTAAGTCTTTGTTATCAAAAGACTGACACTGGAAGGGATTATTAAAGGCGGTTTACGGGTTCCCTCATTAGTGATATTTTCTTTATAAATATTGTATCGGATTCTTTTAGAAAATTATATGTATACAGTTTTATTTGTAAGTCAATGTATACAGTACTTTTATTCAGCCTTCGGAAGAAAGAAAGGCATAAGCAGCAAATTCTAAATTCACAGTTAAATGTGTTTAGATATTTTTAGGGTTTTCTGTTAAACAGAATGGTTAAAATTTATTTCTGTTATAATATATATCACATGTTTTATACAGAAACTCATTGTAGGTATTTCAATCAACCGTTTTTTGAAAATACATTAATTTTTCTCTTGTAGCTTAGTAGAAAAAAAATAAATGTATTATAACTGCATATAAACGACATACTAATTAAAATGTGACTCTCACCACTTGACTCATGAAAAGAACTAAAGGGCACAATTGTATTCAGTTGTGCGTTTTTTGTGTTATTATATTATAATTTAACTACATAATAAGAGCACATTTCCGTATATTGCTAAGTAAAATCCGTTGATATTAGTGTTTTTAACGTAACAAACGTCAATTAAGACTTTTTTATAGTAAAAAATCTTATTATTGTAGTCAGCTATACCCTTTGAGCTTGCTGTATATTCAACAATTATTGAGACAAAATTTAATTAGATTGGCCTTTATTACTGATCCTGAATATGGTATGTATGTACCTCTATTTTGATAAAAATGTTAGTTGTGTCTTTTTTCGTTCCGAGGGCAGTATTTTTCTAATAACTGAAGCCTATTTGTGTAACGTCATTCTTTGTCTCATTGGTTCAAATGTAATTTCTGTACATAGAATTTTGCAATCTCAACAGGTGTTGATGTTTGCAGTGCACTTACTTAAAACTAAGTACAAGTAACGACTGAATCTTTCTCAAGCCACGTGAGCGTTTATTCTATTTAAAATCGGGCAATTAACCACGTTAACATATGCTACCCTTTGAACCAAACACTTTTAAACCGGACCAAACCGGTCCCGGATTAATTAAATATACGACTAGCGTATTAATCAATTTGACATTTTAAAGTTGGGCCTCCACGGTCGAGTTTCACGCCGAGTAAACTTAACAAGCTTTTTACACGTTTGTATATTGTGAGTGTTAGCTGTTCAAATGCAACTCGTGACCCGTGCATAAGGTGCATTTTTGGTCATTTTGTTGTAACCGAGTGCACGTGTGAGTCTAGTCGGTTTTCAAAATCGAACGTTCTCCAACAATCGTCTAAAGTTATACCATACCCCGGACACTCCATACAACGGTCAAAAATTATTTACCTACTACTACTACTACATACAGTAAGGCGCCATCTGCACACGCGCAAATGTGTGCGTGAAGTGGCAGGGTTACCCAACACTATTACGTTACGTGATCAGAGCGGCAACATAGCGAAAATGCTCACGCGAATCTATTATCTATGTTTCTATTAATAGAATCCAGAATCGTAATAATTACACATGTCTATTATGTATTTACATCGATATAATATCATATTTTGCATTAACTCAGTAACTAGAGTAATATTGAAGATTTATTTAAAAAATATGTTAAAATCACTTAAAATGTTATATTTTGGACATGTACTTTTAAATAAGGTAATCAAGGTATTTGAAATTGCGTGTCCAAGTTGATCATCATTATTTAGTTAATAATTAGGTATATTCGCTACTTACGTAATATTTATCGGCAATATGAATTGAAAATTCGAGAACCCATGTCTACTAGCTCATGAAGTCATGGCGCCTAATTATATTGATATGATAAATCTGTATTTATTACTCTGCCGTAAACAAATGAAGAAAACAATAACTGAATGAGTCTCAGACATAAGTTTTTTTACTTACCTACTTCGTTTCATATTTTGGAAAATGATGATAAACAGCCCGTTTCACAACCATTATCAATAGTAACGTAAAATGATGTTTTATATTAACGTACAAGTTTCGTAATGAATAAATGAAAACTATATTCAAATATCAAAGCCGTCTAGGCGTGAAAACGACTCGCCGGCAACCTTGTTGTCGTTCAGTCAATGTGACCGCAATGTGCGGGGCGTGGTGCCGTATCTAAATCTAGGGAGGGGCGGAGAGTCTCCGTTCTCTTTAATTTTTGTTCTCTGGTTATACTGTTTCTATACGTGAATATAACTCATTGATAAATCTTTAAGTAGCAGTAGAGTTCCTTGTGAAAGAGTTGGTCCAGGGAAGTCCTGCCACCTTACCTATTTCTGCTGGCAAGCAGTAATGTCAGCATTACTGTGTTCCGGCTTTCACGTCACTTGATTTTATAAAAAAAATCAAGATTGACACGAGCATCTAAATAATAATAATAATAATAATAACGCACACACTCAACATAGCCCCGCACTAGGGAAACCCTGTGTCGCGGGTGCCATGGACACACACATTGACAACCACAAATTACACCCAAACTCACGAGAGAAATAAATGTAGGCCATACAAATATTTCTCCCGGCCCGGGAATCGAACCCGGGGACCTCTGCGTGGCAGTCCGGTATGGTAACCGTTCGGCCACGGAGGCAATTTAAATACCTAATACGCGTGCATGACTTGCGCATTACTCGCGGTAAACCTCGACAGTGTAGCCTAACCTTTAATTTATAGTTTTAACGTTTTGCCATTTAGTAATACAATTGTTTAATAGAATACATACAGTTGGTATAATTTTTATGATATATTACTTATAAATAATTATATTTGAAATAGTTTGATTAATTGAATACTATTACTCATTAACAAGGCAGAATCCTCTGAGACGAATGAGTAAGAATAAGTAGGGGTTGCACTATGTAAATGTACATTAGGTTGACATATCGTAGTAGTATAAAATATCATAGAGAGATGCAGTTTAAAAGACGTGGGTCCTAATTCTGCGAATTTTAAATCATCTCATTTGGGTCTCAATGGAGTTCCGATGGCGGGATTTTGTAGGTTTGGTATTCTGCTAAAAGCTCGGAGTAGTGGTTAGCCATCACGTTTCAGTCCTGCAAATGCTATGTCTATACGTATAGCCTATTGTACAACATTTTTGTTTCACGACTTTTTGAACCTCATAAATAGGAAACCTTGACTATGAACTGCTCTTTTATTGTAGATAATGAATTTGCAGCTTTATGAAGGCAACCGCCAATTTGTTTTTATTCCTCGTATTTTTCTTATCGTATATTATTAACCAACACGTCATTGGCGGTCGTGATTCACATTACACCATGATTATTTGCGGCGGGAATCGTATCTATAGTTTCTCACATATGGTTCAAAGTACCTAAGCAACTGGGATAGTTCATTTGGTTGTATTTTGAGAGAATAAAATTCACAGCGATGACGACTCGTCGACGACTGTAGAAACCATCAAAAACGAAAGGAAACAAATGAGGCTATGCCCCTGCATCGGGAGGAGTAAAGAGGCCCCACGACACGATCAAAAAATCTCCGTGTAAGGAAGGTTCTTTTTCCGTGAATTTTGTGTCGTCTTTGTAATTTTTAATGGTTTTTTAATGTCGTTTACGCTGTATATATTTTGCTTTTGGGTTTTAATTCTGCTTTCTGGCCGTGCCGCGTCTAAATCTAGATATGAAAGTGAATTGTGTAACTATTTAGTTAATTCAATCTTGAAGTATTTTTATATGAATAGGATTTTTTAAATATTCACCTCGCACTGTCGATCATTTGTTTCCTTTTCTATTACACAATTAAGCGAACAACCATGTTGCAGTCCAATAGAACGTCTGCCTGCAACCTAATCACCTTCGTCAGCGCATTCCAATGAAAGACTAGGTAATTGTTCATTAGTAACGCAAGTAATTATATAATCAAGTAAACGTCACATAACATAAACCCTCCGTGGTAGGAATCCAATCACAGACATGCGACATAGTTGGCAGATGTTTTATAAAACCCAATTTTTCCTTCTGGGTGCTTATAGTTTAAACTAATACAAATGCCAGAGTAGGACACCGGTGTGACAAATATGCATAGTTTCACATTTTCAAACAATTTTTGAAAATTATGTTCGTCCGCTTAAACATAAAAAAAATCATAAATTATAATGTTTGAAAATTATTAGCCAACCGACTGAGTCATTCGATAAAAACATAAATGACATACATTATACGTAAAGTGCACAGCGACACGGCTTCCATTCGTTATGAAGTTACCTATATGATTTTAGTTTTTTCCATTTTATTCTTTTTACGTAATAATCCACTGTATTGTTGCTTTTGCAGCCTTCCTAAAATTATCACAAAAAATTAAAAATTATCCATGGTATATCTGATTCATCAGCCAAAATATAAATATCCGAATTTTTAGACGCAAGGGTTGTCGCTTAATGAAAATGTTTTTAACCGACTAGGTAAAGGTTTTTTAATTCGACTGCTTAAATGCTGTAAATGCAAATTTATTAGGGTTTAAATCAAGGGATATTTAGATTAAGACTGTTGACAACGAAATAAGTTCATTTAAAATTGCTGTTTACTTTAAAATGTGTATCATTTGTGGACTTATTATAAATCGGTATGAATATATTTTTTTACGTTTAGCCACACCAAAATACTCCATTTTCAAAAAAATGAAATTGTACAAATATTTATCACATCATCGGTGTTCTATATTACTGTTCTACTATACTATAAGACTATGGAAGAAAAAAGGCATATCACAAAATTGGGGTTCATAAAGCAGCAGTGCTTTCTCTTAACAAGGTTATCACTGCTACTATTATTACTTACTGAAGTAACATTCTACAATTTAACACCATGTCATTTAACTACTAGAAATAGACCCTATCACCAATAGTTGTTTGATAACACTTTTATGTTAAAGGTTATAATAGATAGATTGATTACGTTTCAATAATATCGATATTTAATTAAAATTAGTGACTTTTTCTTAGCAGTAAAATTCAGATTTCGTAAAATTGTTAATTCAAATTTCCCAAATTGCCAAGGGCCTTGTGCTTTTCTAACTGAGTGTATTTAACCGACTAGGCACACTATTTGCTCACCGTTGTCTATTGTCGACTTATCTGTCATATAAAAGCTGACAAGTTCTGGACTCTGAAACGGTGGCGGTGGTTTGGGTGGAATGGTGGTGAATGGTAAATGGTTCGTGTTACCGTCCAAATCAAGTTTATTGGCAGCATTAGGGCCGCAGAAAAGTGCGTATGACACAGGGAATCAGGGTTGGGAAAAATCATGATTTTTTGAAAAAATCGAATAAATCACGATATTTTTAAATTTTTAATTAATCACGATTTGTTTGATTTTTTCATTTTATCATACAGTTTAACTACATTTTTGCGTAAAACGTAGTAATGTAAAAGTTTAATTAACCGGCAAGCTAGTTTTTTGTTTAAGTATTATAATAATTATATTGATTTCTCAGATCTAAAAGACTTTAGTCTTTAAAATATAATTGTTTGATTTTATGTTGATGTCTTTGAAAGAAAATAAAATTAAACACATTTGATTTAATCACTGTTTTTAATGAAAAAATCATTTGGTTTAAATCAAAATTATTTAATCGTGCCAACCTTGACAGGGATGAATGAGTGCGAGCGAGAGAGTTACGCAGCGTTATCTGGCGCTTGGTGTTACGTCAATACTACCACGTGGTATTTTTGATTATCTAAAGCTGTATAAAGAAGAATTTCTTTATTTTACTTCTCAAGAAAAATAAAATACTGCCCGAGAAAATCAGTTACCAATAAATACATCATATGGAGTTTTAAAAAACAATTCTAAGGTCAACAGACTAAAGACCATGAGTCAGAAAAATGTTTAATTTTTTTTTAATATACGAACAAAGTTAGTTGTTCTTAATTACGAAATATGTGAGGAGAATGATGAGGTTGAAAAAGACGCCACTTGAATTTAAATTGGAACAAATGAATTTGACTTATCGCACATGATAACTAATATAGTATTATCTCAAAAATTGCGTTATTCTCGTATATGTCATTCCTGTACGATTTCAAAGTGACAGTGTTGTCCTGTAACTTTGAAATTAAATCGTATACTAATGACATACATGTAACGCAATTTTTGACATAAAATGCAATATAACGCAATTTTTAAAATAATATTGTGAGAGTTGTCATGTGCGTGATGTGCTTTAGTCTGCCGACCATAGAATTGCTTTTCCCCTTCGCAAATATAAAAAATAACAGACGTGGTACAGTCAAGAGCACGTCATTTTCGCTTGATACTTTGTACTTTGGACCGTTCTTATCGTAAGCGGCATAGAGTTGGATTTAAATCTTAAGTGTCAAGCTGGACCTACTCTTGACCATGTGCCATCCATGTATCATCGGTGTTTTGTAGCAAGGGCGAAAACGAGATTTCGAAAAATTTTTAGTGGAGCGTGTTTTAGGTTTTCACGCCAGGATTAAAATATTATTAACGTCCTGCTTCAAATTCATTTTTGAAATTGAAACCTAATTAAAAATTTTAAAATGGAATTAAATATTTTAAAATAGTCGTTAAAACCTAAAACAGGGGTAACCCTGAAAATTTTTTCCAAATGTCATTTACGCCCTTTTCAACAAAACACCGATGATATAACTTTTGACTGATGCTAGATATGACAAAATTCTTTTGGTATGATAAACGATACATTATTGGCTTTATATCGTACTGAATTTTTATTTAATTTATATAATAAGGGCGCATTTATTCGACAAGAATTTCATCGCGCTCACCGCGCGGCCGCCGCGCGCTCGAAGAGCGGAGTCCGCGTTGCCGCCGCACAGCGACCGCGTGCTTCTGTCATGGCAAAATATGCTCTATTTGTTTACTTTAACGTTTCAATTTAAATGACTGTTCCGGGCACGCGGGCTAGACTGGCTTGAATTTGGTCTACGCGGCGACACGCGTGACAACCGGGCGGTGATTTTATTGAGAGGAATTTAAGTGTTGCATAATAAATAGAATTCAGATTCGCCATTAATGTACCTGAAGGCGTGGTAATTGGACGGTCGCCGCGCTGCGGCCGCGCGAAAACTTTCTTGTGTAACTGGGGGTTTAAGGGTCTTACAATAAGAGGTTTCTAATGGCCCACAATTGATTCAACACCTCAAAGACGGAATTCGTGAAGAATCGAGGATGTACAGCCGCAAATGTGCGAATTGGTTATGGAAACTTTCATGAAAAGAATATGATCCTGCAAGAGAAGCCGTGGCGGCCATTTGACTGATATTGTTTTCCATTAGATTCAGATACAGATTTTTTTTTTCAAAACAAAGTGAAACCTCTTATTGGAAGACCCTTTATTTTGTCAGTTTCCGAAGTTACTTTTTGAAAGCACCTCTACGCACGCCGCAATGTTCAAAATTTGAATTACCATTACTGTCCCTTTGCAGCACGTTCGTGTGCCCGACGGAGATAATCGCGTTCTCTGAGCGCGCCGACGACTTCCGCAAGATCGGCTGCGAGGTGATCGCGGCCTCCACCGACTCGCACTTCACGCACCTCGCCTGGATCAACACGCCGCGCAAGCAGGGTGAGATGCCGTGCCTTTGTACTACCAGTTCTCTTCCCGGTAGGATGAATTTGGGAGACGAACTTCTCTGAGATTAAATCACGAGACTGACCTAATTATCGACTGCTTGAAGGATATCACGATGTCGCGCTCGTCGGTACACTCGATCGCAGTAGAAATAATGCGTTATCCTCAACTTTGTGGCTTTTTGTACCTAACTCTGGATTGTCAATGCTTATTCCTTACTATCCTCTAAATTGAAATAAATAATAAAAGAAATAAAGAGCACGAGGAATTCTGTAGTTAGGGATCAGATAAATGGCGTGATTGTCTGATACATTGTTATTGTTAAATGTGTTCATTTTTATGCTAGACGTAGATCCGTCCGATAAAGGTTTGTAATAGTGATATCATCCTTGGTAGGGTTGGCGATCGCGACGAAACTCTTCTGCCTTTATATTTTATAGTACACAAATAGCTTGCTCCCAAACTAGGGAATCTTTTACTATAAACACATTGACTTACAAATAAATGGACGACGGGTCTAATACAAAAACCACGAAAAAAATGTCCCAAGTCAACCTATTCGAAAATTAAATTGTTATGTCATCGCAGTATCGCGCTGTCAGTTGAACAAATGAAGACTAAAGCGGAGTTTGGCGCTCTGTATACGATTTTAGCGCCTTACAAGTGCGGACACTTTTTAGCGCGGACCCGACGTCCATATAATTGTAAGTCAATGTATAAACACAAAAAAGATACTGAAATGAACTACAAACCATTAATGAAAACACTCGGATCATAACCAATTCTGAAAAGTTCCGTTTTTAAAAAACAACTGCCTGAGTGGCCGAAAGCTTGCCATGCTGGTCTGCCACGCAGAGGTCCCGGGTTTAGATTTCCGGGTCGGGAGAAAAATTTTGTGTGGCCTACACTTATTTGCCTCATGAGTTTGGGCGTCATTTGTGGTTGTCTTTGAGTGTTTTGGCATAGGGTTTTCCTAGTGCGGGGCTATGCATGTGTGCGTTATTGTTATTACTATATTGGTCACACCCACCGAACTTTCCTCATAAAACGCTCCCAGCATAAACAGCTGGACCCTTGATGTGTTGAAATACTGAAAATAATGTATGTGGCAGGCGGCCTGGGCCCCATGAACATCCCGATTATCAGCGACAAGTCCCAACGCATCTCGCGCGACTACGGCGTGCTGAACGAGGAGACCGGCATCCCCTTCCGCGGCCTCTTCATCGTGGACGAGCGCCAGAACCTGCGCCAGATCACCGTCAACGACCTGCCCGTTGGAAGGTCAGGCAGTTCCCTTCAACTTTCAAAACTAGGCCTAAAAATAATTTGACTGCTTCTATACACATATTGTTATTATCGTAACTTTTTAATTTATAAAAAGGTAATGGACCTTTTGAAATTTAATAATAACAATTTTTAACAATTGAAAGAACAAGTTCTATACAGTACTGGACCAACTAAAAAAAACTGACGACCTTCAATCACAGATAGAGGGTTCGATTGGTATTTCCATGTATAGTTTCTAATTATACAGGATTTATATGATTTAACCAACATTTTCTTTTTGAGGTTAAGATAATCAACATTAACATGTTACTTTGTAGTATAAAGTTAAATATTTATATTCCAAGACGAGTATAGTTGGGTCCACATTAAAAGCAACACTTAGATTCACTACGACAGACCAATGAGGTAAAAATAGTACACGGCACACAGTTGAGGTAGACTTACGTATGTAGGATCATTGCTTTTCGCTATCGCAATTACTGTAACATTCGTTCATAATTATCTCAAAGTTGAAGAAATCATGGCAAGTGTAAACAAGGCTTAAAAATAAAATGTCAAAATGTAAGTCGTGTTACGTTCAAAAATAAATATTTACGTGTTTATAAATATTCATATCATTATATCTTTTTTTCTCCAACTTATTCCAAAGTTTTATAATATATATTATTTAGATAAATTTATACTTTCTACCGGTCGCGACTAACAAATTTGCTAGTCCAAAAAGTGGCATTGTTCTTTAACCATATAGCCAATAAAATTATAAGATAAGGTTACTAGACGTGACCAAAAACACATAATTCTATGCAAGTAGATAACACTTATCGGATCCTTCCTCGCACATTGATACCCAAATCCGCAGCCGCGGATTAATTTCACAATCACTAAAAGCGCATTAGACGAAATGGCATTGTCGTTTTATCAACGTGCACAGTTTACTGCGGATTACTCGGTCAGCGATAAGCAACTAGAGACGGCCTTGCGGCGCTCGTTTTTGATAAACTGATATGTTATTGTGCAATTTAATTCTGTTTATAGATAACAAAATTCAAATTCTAAAATATCTTTATTTCGTAGGTAAGCGAATTAATTTGAAAACGTCATCTTGATTAACACAATAGATTATTATTCGTAGGGTAAGTTCCCCTTAGAAGAATAAGCCTTACTTACTTAACTCTGAGGGTTGCTCCTTGTAAACAAACATTTGTACGCATTTATCATTTACAATATTTATTTCAAGTATCGTAGTGATACCTCCAATAAACACTACGCCTACTTTATTTTTGGACCTGTTCTGTTTTTAATTCGTTTTTTTTTATTTTTTCCGAATTTTGTTTCTTTATTTTTACTCGCAAAGAACATAATTTTAGTAAAAAATATGGCTGTTTACAAAAATAATAGAAAATGACCAAAAAAATAAAGTTGGCATAGTGTTCGGTGGAGGTATCGATAAATGGAAATAACTTGAAAAATCTAAACTTTTCAAGTTAGTGTAATAGTCACATAGTAGTAGTTTATGTAACTGTTACATCATGAAAGGCATTAAAATACGAGTGTGGGTTTAAAAACATCTCACGATTGGTTCAATGCCTCATTATCTAGAGTTCCATACACTGCTTTATGCATACACATATTATAAGCTCTCCATGATGTGACTGACAACGAAACAAACTAAATGGCGGCAAATAAAAACTTTTCTCGCGCATCTCACGCAACCGTAGTTTTTATTTAACTCATAGACAAACTAGAGTCAGTCTCAACTATCATATCGTTCGATAACGAGTAACGTGTTTGTCAAAATTGTTTGCTATTGACATTTCGAATAAAACTTCGTCTCGACCATAGATATAGGAAAAAAGAGGAGATATGTAATTACGCTATGTAAGATCGGGTACCGATGTCGCCACTTTTTAGCTTGTGTACAATTCAAACTTTACGCTCTATTTATTATCTTTATTATCTACTACCATGACTTAAAGATTTTGATTGGGTAAAGGTTTAAAACGTGAAAACGACGTAACACAATTTTAAATTTAACAAAATTAAATTTACAGTCACTTGAGTAAGAGTTATATTACATATTTCAGTATTTTTTTCATCCTGGTTTAGCCATTCACCATCAGGAGGTGTTTTAGTAAAAGTGCTACTAGTATATAATAGCTAACTATTACACGTTAGATGGCGCTGAAACACATTTTTCGTTATACTAAGAACTCATGGAGCGGGGGACCGCGGCATCTGTAGAATGTAATAGTTACGTATGTAAAATTAGTAATACATTTCACGGCGTGTTTTACGCCTGTAGTGGTGACGGTTGCTCGCAGTTGCCGCGGCGGGGTACTAGTACAACCGCGCAGGACGCGATCATCTGCGGCTTGGTGGTCATCGTCGCCCGCGCACTTTGGCGGTCGGTTCAGGCGCAATGTGGTGCCCTGCACCATCCTGAACCAGCAACGAATTCAATAAATTAAATTGTTGTTTTTTTTTTGAAGTATTTATGTAGTTTTCTATAGTTTTTTTTTTTATTAAGAATTTATCTTGTTTCTAATTTATTTTGCATGCAACACATGTAAAATAAAGCCGAATTAATTTTATTTATTTTTTAAATGCATTTGCTATGGAAATTTAAACAAAGTCAGAAATAATAATAAGAAAACCAAACTTTCGATTTTCCTGCAGCTTCAATCCAACCTCTCTTTCTTTTATTTTGAACTCATTGGAAATACTTAAAAATAAAAAATACTCGTAAATTTAATCCACGAGTATAATGGAATTTAAATATCTAAAACAATAATACACATACATTTTTCTTCAAGCAACAGCAACAAATTGACATGAAATTGAAACGGTTGTCCGAAATATGAGTCGTGTTAAACTTTAATTTCGACATAAAATGTTTAGTAATAATAAATAATAATAAAGTAAAAGAAATCATACCTATAAGAAATTCAAACATTTCAGTAAAAATTTATTGTCGATAAACATCAGTCATCGTAAATGAACATCACTATATTTGAGCCTAGAAATTTCTACGGAGACAAAAAGAAAATGAATTATAATAGAAATAGTAATTAAAATTCCAAATAGCTGGTGAAATGTTATCTCACTGGTTTTAAAATTTTTACAAGGTGTATCGCTACAACTTTGCATTTTCTCGTTTTACGAGAGATCTTTTATGTACAACGATCGACATGTCACTGTGGCGATGTTTGTAGGCGTGTCACCTCGATATCACGATCGAGGCGCGCCCCCATACCAAATCTCCCCTTTTTTCTATATCTATGATCTCGACTAATATTAGAATTGAGGTTCAATCAAATTGTTTTGTTTTTCAGAGATGTTCGAAATTTGAATATAATAATAACATCGAATTTCGATGTTACCATAAAGCAATAATAACATTTTCACAGATAAGAAAATTGCACTAAGAAAACGTTTTTCCTTTATGCTGGTCGTAATTTGCGGTTTTTGAACACATTATAGAGTTTATGATATGTGTGTAGTTAAACTACTACTATTATAATTAGCAAAAAAAACAACGTTCTTTTTTTGAAATAAAATTTTCAGTTCAGTAACGCACCTTAGGCAACAGAATTTTGATTCAGAACTAAAGAGAGCGCCTTTGTGATATAGTTTGTGAAGTCTTATTTGACCGATTGAAGTACATACGTAGTAGCGGTTTAATGGTACGTCCGTGACCCCCGCAGGTCGGTGGAGGAGACGCTCCGGCTGGTGCAGGCCTTCCAGTACACGGACAAGTACGGCGAGGTGTGCCCCGCCAACTGGACGCCGGGCGCCAAGACCATCAAGCCCGACACCAAGGCGGCGCAGGAGTACTTCGTCGACGCCAACTAAGCGGCGGCGCACGGCGGTGGAAGCGGGTGGCGCCGAACATCCGACTTCGCTTTAAAAATAAGCACCTGCATTGGAGATACCATTTAGAGTTATCGAAAGTAAGCAATAGATCATTTTGAACAGTCAGATAATGCCTTCGTAGGCTTAAAGTTTGAATTGTTTTCAAAGCGCTGTCTGACAGTCGGCGAAAATCTTAATTGTGATATGAAGTACAAGGCGGGACCTGTACATATCGTAAAAACAAACAATTTATATTATAAAACCTAATACTCTACACGAGTTTCTACAATTATCCTCGTCAAGGAGGTCCCACTCAAGTTCTTGTGCAAATAACGCGTGTTGGGACTACTTACTAACCGATATCAGTCTCCTAAAGTTGAAGTTAACTTACTAACTTATAAAGTTCTCAGTAAAACCAAAAATAACTCCAGTCTACCGAACACGGAGATTTTTCATAACCTCAAGCTGACCCTGTTTACTATAAAGGCAAGTTAATTACGCCTAGCAAGTGGAGTGGTAGACAAAAATCGTAATTGTGCTACACTAAAAACAAGCCAGGACTTCTACATATCTTTTTCTGTAAAAGAAGAGCAAATAACTTTAAATATTGTAAAATATAATGTTCTATAAGATCCTAGAGATAACTCGAATATGACACTCGCTTCCACCTTAACTTTAGTAACTGGACCTTAACGAGGTGATTAAGTTTTTTTATTCATTGTTCATTAAAGTTCTATGGTTTGAACGGCATTGAACAGGCGCGCGTGAATCTCAGGGCAAGCGAACCATTTTTCTTCGTACTCCTTGAATTATTAATGACAATAACTTGTGATTTAGCTCTGTAGCAGGAATAGGGAACACGATCAGTATTCACAGAAATCCTATGTTAGCAATTGAGGCTGTAATAAAAGCATATACATATTGTAATTTGGTGTTTTATTTTACTAAACTAATCAAAAGTCGCTACCGCCAACATTGTAACAGGATAATGGAATGTTCGAGGAAATGACTCTCAGGCTCGTATTCCAGAACTCTACTCAATGCTCAAGTCGGGACTTGAGTAGTGCAGTGAACACTGAAAATCATACTCAAGTCCTTGCCATTAGGGTCGTATTTACAGTGCTTGTGTTTCCAGTGCAATCCTGGCTTGACGATTGAGTGAGTTCTAGAATACGACCCTAATGCTCAAGTCAGGATTTGAGTATGGTTTAAAGCACTCGAAATCATACTCAAGTCCCTGCCATTACGGTCGTATTTCCAGTGCTTGAAATCATACTCAGATCCTGACTTGAGCATTGAGTAGAGTTCGGAATACGGTCCTGAGAGAATTAATGAAACTGGCTATTCGAAGAAAAATTTATAAGCGCCACCTATTGACATTTTAAATTACCTGCTCGTAAAAAGCAATTTCCAAATTATTAGACTCTATTGGAACCGGATAATGCCGCTAGGTGGCGACATATTAAACAAGTTTTGAGCCGCCCTTCATGAAATAAAATCAATTTTACACTTTGTACGTTGTAACGTTTATGTATAACCGTTTGTCGGGTAGGTATAAAGTAAATAGATACAGGGACACAATTGTATATTATGTAGGCTTAAATAGTAGGTAATAAAAACAGAGTTAAATAATAGAATAAGTGCAGGCTTCGATATAATTTTACTTTAAATTAGGTCGGTTATTAGTCTTTTTAGCCAGTTTTCATTGAAAATTTACTTTAAGGGTCGTATTCCAGAACACTACTCAATGCTCAAGTCAGGACTTGAGTATGATTTCACACTGGAAATACGACCCTAATGGCAAGAACTTGAGTATGATTTCTAGGGTTTAATCTGAAAATGACATTTAAAAGGTGTTAATTTTTTACCCAAATTGTGTACCGAGGTACATCATGTAGGAAGCACGTAGGTAAGTACAACATAAGTCAAATTTGCACATGTATTGTAACCACAAAATATAATGTGCACTAAGTAGGTATTGTAAAGAATTGTATTATAACCACCAATGGTCTGCAGTATCCTAGGTCATTTTTTTTAACGCAACATGCTCATAGCCCGCTCTATGGAAACCCTGTGTCGCGAGTGCCATGGACACACACAAACACACAAATTACATCCAAACCCACGAGAGATAAAAATGTAGGCCATGCACATATTTTCCCCGGCGGCGGCGTGGGAATCGAACCCAGGACCTCTGCGTAGCAGTCTTACATGGTAACTGTTCGGCCACGGAGTCATCGTTTTTGAAATTATAATTAGGTATCAACATCGGTATTGGCAGTACTTACTATAATAAATGTTTAGTATAAATCGATGTTTAAAAAATATTGGTAGAATTATGCCCATAGTAAAACTAAAACATAAAAATTGAAACTTAAAACCCGACCACAACAAATAAGAATGCGTGTACTCATCAAAATATTCGAAAAAGCAATGACCTGCGTTTGCAAATTATTATCGCTGAAAATAAAAAATGTCTCAATGAAACTTGGTTTCGCGCTCATTTTAAGTTTGGCTTTCAACTTTTAATTCATATTAATTTTAATGAGTGTTTGTTCCACAATATACAATATCTTCGTTCACTGCGTAGGCATTATATCTATCTATATCTTTGTTTACAAAAAAACTTGTTGCTTCGTGCTCCCGAGCTAGCGCGTGCAGAAAAAAAATACACCAATCAGGAGATCACATTCCTGCTTGACCCGCGTGCGCGGTGGACGCGTGTTGTGCCTTCGAAATTCAATTTCAAAATTGCGAATTAAAGTTCGAATTCAAAATAGAAATGGGATTGAACACGTACAGTGATTATGGAAGTGGCAGTTCAATGAACTCGGTAAGCATTTTTCTTTTTAATTTTTTATTATTATACAGTTGAGAATTTTTTCCATGAAGTACCGTCTTTGAACATAAAAAAACAATTTATGTAGGTAGGTAATGTAACGTGATTGTGTACGTATTTATTATAAGCACAATTTAAATTTGGCTTGGTCTAAGTAGGCCGAAAATTCAATGATGGATTTCCTTTTATGCTTTACAATGCAACTGGACACAGCGTGTAATTTTCATAGGTTAACGCAATTGAACGCTAAATATTTCAATTAATAAAAATTTGCTACCGGTCAAGGTCACGACATGAGCGACCAACAGCAAAATGTCCTCCAATAAAAAAATTGAAAACAAATTGGTTATATTTTTGTGGATGTAGACAATCTTCTTGGCGTATTTTTTAGAGGTAATGAACAATATATTTTGCCATATATAGGAAAATAGTTAGCTTACTTCTTTAAGACCGGTGGTGGTTTGGTTCGAATTCCTGTGGCGACAAGTTAATTACGTTTGAAAATGTTTAGTAGCATGACCTCCCGCTAACGGTGAACAAAAACACTACATGTGGTGGGCTAGGAACTTAACCTTGTACTTTAAGGTGAGGACGGATGATGATGTCCTTTTTATGTTAATTGATACGTGAAGTCCATTCAGGAAGACCGTCTGGGAACCTCGTTTGAAGTTTGTAGCAAATAACATAAGCCTCCTGAACAGTTGTAAGACGTGCATCGGTTTAGGAGCTGAATTAAATTTATCCTTGAGTGCAGGATTTCCAGGACCTGGAGAGCTGGTTGCCGCTGGCCACGCGCGCTGTGGAGCGACCTCGGCAGAAGTCTGCCAGCTATGTGGACCGTGAGTTTATGTCTATTTTACAATCGCTTAACAACCCAATAATAAAAACTTAAACCATTTATTTCTAGATTATCTAGACTATGGGAGATGTTGTCTTTTGAAAATAATGTCTGTATAGCATTCTGCCCACAGTCTAAAGGTAAATAAGTAATTATGTGCCCAGTGTGATCAAAAAGTGGGGCAGAAGCTTGTGAAGCAAAACTTTTTTAACATTTTATAAGTAATATTTAGAACAAACTATCAAAAGCAACGAAAAAATCAAATTGTTAGGTCTGCCCTTATACTTAGGACCCGTCGACATGCCGTCACGTCTGTTTTCTTCTGGAGTAGTAGTGGGATCCCTACCATGAACCTCCACTATGCTCCTAAACAACCTGTTTTGCCTTCTCTGCTGGCGTCAGTGTCTTTATACATTGGTTTATTCTTGATAGAAACCAACGAGAACGTAATATTACCTTTTATAAGGACGTCCCCAATTAATGATACTTTTCTATTCACATTCGCTATAATTATTTCATAAAATTTTCGAGCAATATTGATGTTTTTCTAACTGGTTTGGAAAGTTTGTTTTAATGATAGGTGTTCGATGGTGTCGTCTTACAAATGAATACATACCTGTACATACTTACATTATGTAATTCACAACTCCGAACATATCTAAGTTATTTGCGGAAACACATGTTATTGACACAAACAAAATAATAGTTTCACAGTAACTGTACCCGACCAAAAATTAAGCATGCAGAGACATTGAAGGCATGTTTTCTATTTGTTAACATACATAAATAATTACTAGCAGAAAACAAATCCAAATATCGCACCCAGAATTATAAAGTGACTTAATTCTAAAACTTAAAAAAAAAACTGAAAAAAAAATACGTACACATTTGATACTTAAGATTTAAGTTCAACGCTATGCCACTTACGATAAGAACAGTCGGAAGTGTTTTCGACTGTACCTACGTGGAACCAGCCACAATTATGTGCTATTTAGCTAATGTCACATTCTCGTATTATACTAAATTCTACTTGACATGAAGAACGATGTTTTAGTTTTATTTCGTGTGTAATATTTTTTTAAATAGATTTTATCATAGGAATGAATGAAACTATTTTATGTATCGAAATCGCGAATATTTGTTTTTTCAAACAAACCAAACTTCCGGGTCCTTTACAGGTACCATGGTCACGGGTGACTGAAAAGTAAATGTAATTAGGTATTTGTATACTCATTATTGTTTGTGTACTTTTACTTACAATTACTAAACTTTTATTCTAAATACACTACCATAGTACAGTAATTCTGCCGCCGTTATTCGAAAGGGCGTATGCTGTGACCAGTAAAAAAAAGACTCGAGAGACGAAGAGATCTGTTACTATTTTCATTATTTCGTAGGTCGATAAGATATTAAGTTACCGCACGAGAAAAGTAAATTTTTAAAAGTTCAATTTCTTTAAACAATATTTTCTCGGTTTTGAGTTTTTGTCACAAGCACCATTTCAACTAACGGCGGCAGAATTTATAGTTACACATTAAATATTATACAACAAACTATAATACAATGATTCCGATAATGTTGAAGAATACGTCACTTTATGCTGAGGCAAATCGTACCATAAGCGCAGTAGACGCGCTACCACCTTAAGGGTTATTTTTGCATGCAAGCACTAGCGGTCAATAGCGGCCACCTGCAGCCTGCTTGTTCTAGTCAATGGCGTTTAAAGGCGACATCAAAAGTTTTGTCATAAACGAAAAGTTTTCACAAAAAAAAGAGTCAACAAAATAAGCTACAAGCGCCCGTCACCCTGAGACATCAGTTGACAAGTCACATGTGCCTGTACTTTCATCACCACCCTTACCCTTCCAAACCGGAACGTAGTAATACTCATATTGCTGTTTGGCGGCAGAAATAAGTAAGGTGGCAGTTATTCCCTGGACGAACTCTTTCACAAGGAGATCAGAGCTCGTACTAAAACCTGTTTTAGAACTGGGAAGGCTTCAACTTTGCGGATAGTACGTGAGTTGAAAGTTACTGACGACCGGCACATCAAAGGCTTAGCAACCATGAAAGTAAACACATCAGCTTAATTTATTGTTTCGCGACACAATCGCCTTTGTACGAATAGGACTTGTGATCTTGTAACATGAGTTAACTGTTGACAAGCGATAAGCTCGTGTGTCGGGGTTTTTAAGTGGTAGCTTTTGCATTTTGATTTGACTGTGGCACAGTGGTAAGTTTCTGACTTCAAAAAAGGAGCAGGTTCTCGATTAGACTATACATATATAACGTTGGTTTGTTTGGAAAAACAAATATACGAGATTTCAATCCGGAAGAATAGTTTCATTTCCTATATGTAACAATCGCGAAAACCCAAGAACTCGATATATATACATATATTTTTGTGTGTGTATGTTACGCAATTACTCCGGCATTTGTGAACCGATTTTGATGATTCTTATTTTGTAGGAAAGAGGGTCGAGTGTCGAGTACCTCAGTATTAGTCCATTTGAAATTGAAGAAAATATTCCACCTCTAAGGGTGGCAAACTAGAGGATTTTTTTTATGGTACAGAGTGATGGGACGAACAAGTCGTGCGCCTGATGGTAAACGACACGCGTTGAGTGTGAATTTCACCTGCACCATTACCCTTTAAAACCGGAACGCAGTAATGGTCACATTATTGCTTGGCGGCAGAAATAGATAAGGTGGCAGTACTTCCCTGGACGAACTCTTTCACAAGGTGCTCCACTGGTACTGAATCCAGTTTTGCGCACTTTCCGGTAACCGATTTCTGTAAATAAAACTTGGCAATTAGATGTAATTCCAGGAACTTTTGAGATCAGATTCGTTTTTTAACCGACTTCAAAAAAGGAAGAGGTTCACAATTCGACTGTATGTTCTTTTTTGTTTTTTTTTTTTTGTATGTATGTTACGCGATAACTCCGGTATTTGTGAACCGATTTTCATGATTCTTTTTTTGTTGGAAAGGGGGTATTTCCATAGTGGTCCCATTTCATTTTGAAGAAAATCATCCACCTCAAAGGGTGGCTGTTCACGCATGAAGATTCATTTTTATAAATAGCGCCTAACTTTAATTTAGGAGCAATTACTTTTAGCAATTATTTAGTTGATTTTGCTATTTCTCCAATTTTAAAAAAAGGCGTTTTTCTCTCGATATACTTTGAGTAGTGTCGTAGTGAGAACCTATTTTTATTATCTCCAGTATCAAGTCCTGTATAGTGGCGAACTAGGGGATATCTCAATGAAACTTAGCAATTAGACGTAATTCCACGTACTTTTGAGGTCGGCTTTTTTAGTACTCTGTACTGAGATTATTTAAGTTATAGTTATATAATTAGTTATACTATAGGTAGTTCTAAATTTATCTGAGTGGTGGACCTATGTCAATTTCGTTGCTCTGGAACTCCTAGTACAGGGAATTCACACGTCAAAGAAGGTTCTTTGAAGGACCCGTGTCACGAAGTGGAACATTTATTTATCGCGCTCTGTTTGTTGCAGTGGTGCTCGGCCGGTGCACGCTCGAGGATGTGATGAATGAGTTCCGCATGAACGGCTCCGACACACCGTACAATCCTGACGACGAGCTCTGGGCACCGAGGACGGGTAATCTTTTAAGCATAACCGGCCTAGATTTCACTCGAAAAGAGTGCATGTGCAGAGGTACTGATTCGTAAATGTAATGTTATATAATTATGTTATAGTATAATGTTTGTTACCACTTAAGACATGTTTCGATGAATACCTGCAGTGTTGGACGCTAAAGGGTTTGTTCTCTATCTGTAAAGATCTGAGGGGCACTACCGTTACGCCCGTCACCCTGAGACATGAGTAGACAAATCACATGTGCCTGTAATTTCACCAGCACCCTTCTTACCCGTCTGAACCGGCACGCAGTAATGCTCACATTACTTCTTGGCGGCAGAAATAGGTGAGGTGACAGTACTTCCCTGGATAAACTCTTTCACAAGGAGGTCTTTCTGCTAATAAATTAATTTGATGAATAAATTGGTTGCTTTATGGATTTTATTATCTATTCAAGCTTTATCGAGTTCTTAAGTTTTCGCGATTGTTACACATAGGAAATGAAACTATTTTTCCGGATTTAAATCGCGTATATTTGTTTTTTTCCAAAAACAAACCCACGTTTCGGGCCCTTTACAGGTCCCATGGACACCGTGACCATGGGACCCGTAAGTGTAAATATACGCGATTTAAATCCAGAAAAATAGTTTCATTTCCTATATTCAAGCTTTGTTATTCGATAAAAATGTTTTTCTACTCGAAAGTATCGAAACTAATTTGTATCTCTGTCCAGTCTCATTGTTTCCATTAATCAATTTCTACATAAAAGTTACACAGCCTGCATACAGAAATCTAAATAAGTAATATTTAGATTTCTGTGGCCGAAAAGTAAAGAATCGAGACCAAAACGCCAAATTCAAATTTAAACAAACTGATCGGGTAGGTACTGAATCTTTCGTCTTCGTATACATAGATCAATGATGCTAAAATTATTACAATAATTACCTGCGATTACCAGACGAATGGGGACGATCTAAAGAAATGCATTGTACAGTGCAATTTATTGATCAAAGAATCGAAATGATTATTCCAGATATTTTAGAAGCGAACTCCTCGGTAACCTACCTTCGTCAGTCGTCGTGGCCCGCGCCGGAGCTAACTCCCGCGCAGGCACTGCCCCGCCCCCGCCCCGCAGCCGCACGCGCCCCGGCGGCCGCCCCCAAACTCGCCCCCACCGCTGTCGCGTGGAATGCTGACTTCTTGTCGTTCGCTCAGAACGTTCCTTCTACTTCTACGCCAAGTAAGTGATATAGAGATATGTATATCTCTATCAGGTTGCCGATATTGTTAAAAAAGGGCTAGGTAAAACTACCAACAATAAACAGACAGGATGCTTAATCAATGTATCAGGACCGTAGCGAGAGAAGGCTTAGTCTCTGCCTACCCCTGTGGGAGATAGGAGTACATAAATTGTAGACGCTTTTGAAAATTGGATAAAGAAACTCAACAAACTTAATTAATACATTTAATTTCGCAGGATTTTTATCCCAAACTTACTTTATTGAGTAATGTAGGTAGAGTTAAGATGAGGTCGAACTTGTCTACTCTTTTCCTGACTTTGCCCTAACTAATGTGGCAACTCAAACTGACTTGAAACTCGCATTGGCATAACTTTATTCAAAACTCTTTTATTCGTACTATGGACACTAAACCACTACATAGAGCGACCTGCCCAAACTTCTACCTAGAAGAAGGTTCCGAATTATTTAATCATGGACTTCATGGTATAAATTGACAAAACAAATCCGACGTAGCGTAATGCTCTACAAATATTGGCTTTATCCTCAATGTTATAAAATTGTGGATCATTTAAAGGTAAACTAAAGTCAAAATTATAAATATTTACTAATACTCGTTATATAAGATTAGAATAACTGCTTCAACATGTGTATAAGAATTTTAATTAAGAATTACAACTGACAAAATAGCTTTTGACATAATATGAAATAAATAAATAAACAAACAACCACGAATTAGACCATACAAATATAGGAACCGAACCAGGGCCTCTGTGTGGCAAACCAGCGTAGTAACCGGAGGCAGTTTAATTTCAAATTATTAACTGCTTTCAGCTTGTATAACCACCATGTACCTAGTTTTATTTAAAGATCTGTATAATTACTGAATTTTAGCAAATAAACATATTCTATTAGTTTGGATATACAAATGTAGATTAAGCTGATAGTAAGCAACCATTCTCTTAACAATCGATGGTTACAGACGTTAAAGTGTTTGCCTTTCTTTTATTTCCAGTTAACGACGACACTCCACCAAGCCAGCTAGATCTTTTAACAGAAGAACAGAAACAAGTCCTGACATCGCTCTCTGATGACACTATTTATACCTTGCTGAGGCAAATTGAGGTGACTCGTGGGGACGTTGTCAAACGCAATAAGAAAAAGCTTGATGTAAGTCAATAAGAAGGTGGTCCTTCCACCCCGCTGGTCCTGACAGTGCAGGCTAGCGATGCGCGATTGGACTATTTTCGATTAGCAGAAATGCTCGTGATCACCTAGCCCTCTCTGACATATGGTAAATACTGTAAATGTAATGGGAAAAGGGATATTTCGATATGGACATGGCGAATGATCGGTGGAGTTTCAAATAGTTCCGATATGATAATCATTCGATTCACCCGACCGAATGGCAGGGGCATTCAGTATATCATTCGACTCGGAATCATTAAATTCCTCTCCTGTTGCTTTTGATCTCCTAGAGAAAAATGGTAATGTTGTTCCACAAGACATCATCAAAGCTTTTAAATCTATACATTTTGAAAAACTGAAGATCTCTGGGGCATATCGACTAAAGTTATAGACTTAGTAATTTATCCAATTTCCCCACATTTAGCTGATGCATTGAATAGGTGCGTTGACAAAGGTATTTTTCCCGATTTAATGAAAGACAGCAAAGTTATTCTTTTATGCAAAAGCGGTAGGAAAGTTGATCCTAGCAACTATAGGCCTATTTCAATTCTACCAGCTTTAAGTAAAATATTCGAAAAGGTTATTTTGATTCAAGTGCTGTCCTATTTCGGTAAGAATTACATTTTTTATAGTAAATAATATGGGTTTACTAGTGGTAGATCGACTAGTGATGATGGGGTAGCACTACTAAAATATATATTTGGTGCTTGGGAAAGGTTCCAGAACGCTATTGGGGTTTTCTGTGACCTCTCGAAAGACATTTGATTGACTATATTACTCATGTTAGGAAGCTGGAATATTACGGAGTAAATGGCAAGGCGTTGTAATTCGTTATGTCTTAAAGGTAGAATTCAGAAAGTATACATAAATGGAGTGACTTCTTTGACTTATCCGGTAAAAATGGGTGTTCCGCAGGGCTCAATACTTGGACCTTTTTTATTTCTGATTTATATGAATGATTTGCTGTTCTTTGTTAAGGGCCATTGCGAAATAATATTTTTTGCTGACGACACATCCTTGATTTTTAAAACAGACAGACATGACATTAACTTTAACCATATTAATGATATCTTGTCTAAGGTAGTTTATGCTAACAATTTATTGCTCAATGCCAAGAAGACAAAGTGTGTTAAATTTGAATTACGTAATGTAAAATCGATTAGTTTAATCATAAAAATAGATGGAGAAAAGTTGGACCTTGTTAATAAAGCTGTTCTTTTTGGTAGTGACTTTAGATAGTGAACTTCAATGGTTTCCGCATATATTTTCTTTAGCCAGCTGATTAAGCTCTGTTGCACACGCAGTCCGTAGAATACGTGAGCTTACTGATGTTGTTACTGCTAGTTTACTTTAGTTACTTCCATGATAGGTACAACGTCCTACAGGATTCTCGTGTGGGGTAAAGCGGCAGATATACAAACCATATTTGTATTGCAAAAACGAGCGATGCGTTTTTCTACCGTTCAGGTTCTCTCAGGTATTAAGAATAAAGATATCCGTAGTATTGTGCGGCTACCTGCGAGAAGCGCGGGCTTCGTACTGGTAAAGAGTTGGCATGAGATCAGTCGGGCTGGCGCAGGAGTGCCGCTTCTGCAAGAACAACGGCGAGCGCGAGGCCTTCTTCCGCTCGCACGCGCTCAAGGACGCGGCGGGGCGCGTGGAGTGCCCCGTGCTGCGCGCCTTCCAGTGCCGCCGCTGCGGGGCGCGGGGGGACGCGGCGCACACCGCCAAGTACTGCCCGCTGGCCACCGCCGAGGGTACGTCAGACAAGTGGGAGCGGCGGTCGCTGTCGTCACATTTTCGACGCGGCGTCTTGTTTGTCGCCGGACGCCTGTCGTTCCAGCTCTTCAAGGCTGCACAGTCTGTCGTCGTTACGTCAAAAACTTGTTAATCGTATATAAAGTTCAATTGAATATACAAGCCACGACACTTTAAAGTGCACGACTGTCTATCATCTGTAAGGTTTTGACCTTAGAATAATAACGCATAGAAACCTAGTCCGCACACGCTAAGTGAGGCAAATTGAAGCGCTCCCAAAGGGCCTATACGAGCAGGCGTGCCTTCAGTGCTCAAGGTCAACTTGCACCGCGAACAGATCAAGAATTTTAGCTAAAAATGACGAAATGTGCGGTAAATGAGTGTAAAAATACGTCAGACAAACATAAAATAGGTACTAACATCACATTCCGTAAGGAAGTAACGCGTTTCAACTTGTATTTTTATATAAACATTCACTAAAACCGTGCCAAAACTAGCCTACACGAATTTGATTTTTGCCTCACTCGTGACAGTTCGTGAAACTATCATTCTATGCGTTATTATTCTAAGGTTTTGACGTTCCGACGACAGACTGGCGACGACGGGAAGGTAAAATGTGACGACACAATCGCAGCCGCCCAGAGCCGTCGCGCCAGCAGGGCCGGACTCGGCAGGGCTAAGGGCGAAGGGCGGTCTGTCGCAGAGCGGCTGCAGTCGGCGGCCGTCATGCACAGCGTGCGCCTGGCGTCGGGCCGGCGCCGCGCGGGGCCCGAGGCGCGCGCGCGGCCGGCGCTGGACCCGCGCTGGGCCGCGCTCGAGCGCAAGCTGCTGCTGTAGCGCCTCCCGCGCGACGCGCCCGCCGCGACGCCGCCGGCGCCGTTCAGCGATCGTCTGTTCGTTCCTTTCATTCCTTCCTCCAAAGAATCGGCAGTCGTAAGCTCCTAGACGCGTTCCTGGCGGCGCGGAACCACTCGGGAATTTAGATTTAAGCTTTTTATCATTTCTACGAGTCCGGTAGACGTATATAAAATTTGTTATTGAGTATCTCTCAAATATTGACGTGTTTGTTCAATAAGACAATCGATATTGAACCGTGTTGCGTATTTTTTACTTTAAACGGTAAAAAATTGTTTTCGAAATACTTCCTACGTATTTGTTAATTTTCTTTCAACTTTTGTAATTCAAAAATCGAGAAATTAATACGTTCTCGTAATTTTCTGCTAGAAAATTAACGAGTACTCAAATATTTATAATTGTTTTATATTTTATTGACAATAAGTTTCATCAATTTATTATGAACGACACATTATTATCGGCAAAACCTAATACGTTTGTTGTCCAACCGCGGGCTGTCTGCACAATTTGTAACATTTGCAGTTATGCCTGTTTTTTTTTGTTAAATTTCCATTAATAATTAATTTGCAATAAAATAAGAATAATAAAATCTATAAAAGTTTTGATCTAACTTTAAAGCTAGAATCAGAACTTTTCATTCTAATTCTCACGAACATACCTAACGGCGCTATTTGTGTAGTATTTGCTGATTTCAAAATTATATTTTCTCCAAATTTTCAAATAGAATGGAATGTTTTTAAAATAGGCACGAAAAATATTAAATATTTTTCAGCTTATTTACTTCAATGCAATTCCTCAATACAGCTTTCTAAAAATTAAATAATTCTCTATACCATAAATCAAATTTGTTTTTCCGCATGTTACGCAAAGTACTATACAGTTAAATAATGCCATGTATTGTCATACAAATCCATTTTACTACTTGTATACAATTTAATTCCGTCATATCCAATAAATAAACATAAACAAAATAGTCTTATTTTGCCACCATTTAATTTGTGTCGACTTCGCTTTATTGTCAACATGTAAAAAAAATGTCAACCATAACTGATTAACAAAATAATATTTTAGGTTAGGATAGAATTACATATTTCTGCTGTTGATTAATTTGTATTGATATCTATTTTGTTTTTGTTGATTTGTTCATCATTTTTTGACGTTTGACTCGTCGACGTCGGTTTATTAAGACGAATAAACGCAAGTCGATCGAAATTTATTTTATTTATTCGAAATCAGATGCAGCGTAAAACCTTTACAATAGAAATACGTATAATTTTCTATTTCTCTTACTGCTTACACTATATACGCTCGACGGTTTACACATAAAATATTAGTAACGTAAGGCATAAGAAAACATCCTTTTTTAATGTAAGGGAGATGTTATATTTTAAACCACTGGGCATTCCTAAATCTTTCGTTCGTAGCATGAAGGAAGAAAAAAATTAAGAAACTTTGCTCTAGAGACAATCAAAGTTGGAGCAGACAGTAAAAAGTTATAGACATGTTTAAAAAAATAAAATCGGCTTTTCTGAAAAATCGTGGTTTGTCCCTTACATCATTAATTGATACTTTATCTTTCGCCTCATCAACACGCGTCAACCTTTCTTTAGATCATGGACCAATACATAGATGAGTATAAGTACTAACCAATGCCTCAAGAGGTCTGCTGACCATGATACTAGACAACGCAGTCAGGTATTTAGTACCTATTCGTACACCAGATGTCGCGACGAGTACCAAACAGCTACTTTGTAACTGATTTCTTTTACATTGACAAGTTGTAATTTATCAAAGCTGCTTCAACTTCTAGTGATAACAAAGACATCCACTAGATGGCGCTTACTACACGGATTTAGTGTCGGCTATTCTTTTATTTTGTTTATGATTACTGATTAGCGCCATCTACCCATAATCGTAAGCGTAATTTATTAATTTCTTTGCAACACGTTTGTGAGGTAAAAAAATAATTTTAGTTCATGGCCACGGCCATTTACATAATATAAAGTACTTCCAAAGTATTGACCAACACGATTTATATAGAAGACGAAATTTTGACCGACGAATTACGATCTGTACTATGGAGATTAGCCGTCTTCTTACCCATGCTTTAGATGATATAGCTGACCGAATCCATATACCTAATCATATCAGGTAATTTTTTTGTTAGTACGTTAGAGGCCATAATAATTTAAAATTTTTAAGACAAGCAAATTATCAAAAATTTGCCAAAGCTTTTGCATAGTGATGTGTAGACACACATACATAATCACTTCAACTTTATTATATATTATTATACTTAACTATATTGAACATTTTTCAGTATTTAAAGTTGTTTCTCATTGTTGTGTACCAATAACGGAGGATGAGTGCCCTCAGTTTTATACGGATTTTTTCTAGTATGGGAGGTCAGTGCTAAATAGGTTTCTACAAACTTGCAGCCTTGTCTTATTGTACCACGTTTAGTTTCAGTGAGCAGTTTTATTATTAGGTTGTCCTCAATAAATTTATTTATTTCGTATTATTACTAAGAATGTGCCGTTTGATATGACGTTTATTAGTGGCTGAAAGTCGTGTGTGGCCCGGCCTACCTTCCCGAGACAAGCAATCCGCGTGGAGTAGGGTCGTGCATGACTACACGACACAACACAGTATTCGCAAATCATTATCAATGCTATCCGTGACGTCAACTTCAGACCATAAACGTCCCAGAATACTCGTATTATAATGTCACCATGAATAAAAACAATTACCGGCCGCCTGCAACTCACGGCTCCTTACCACTTAGAAGATATTCGATGTTGCCATTTCCGTTCTACTCTGTCTTCCAACACGTAATCGCCACTCGAGAATTTCATATCAGGTTTCAGTTCTGCAAGTTATTCACAAAACGCCTAACATTAATTAACATTAATTTGTTTATCTAATTAGAATAGAATCCGTCCTATTAACCCGCGCGGCGGCTGCGCAGGCTCGCCGCAAGCGCTATAGTATGGCGTGACTAACGAGACCGCGCATGCGTGGGCGTAAGCAGATTAATTGCTGAAGGCACACTTTGGCTTGCAACGTTGAAGGCATGTATTGAAGTGAATTTGCTGTCAAGTATACAAGATGTTAGTGAGGCAAGGGGTTAACCAGTCCCATCCGAGTCTCCAAATCAGATGGGTTTCCGAGCGTGAAGATGAACCTGATTCCTACTATATCTTTCTAATTTGTAACTTAAACCAACTATTGTTCCGATTTGAAATGTCAAATGTTTCCGATCGGCCAGCTGTGAATCGCAAATAAGGGCCTCGAGTCGGAAGAGACGCGCTTTCCGATTGGGAGAGGCAATCAAAATCAAGCTGCAGATGACGTCTGCGAGTGATTCGGAATCCTAACTGCCGAAAATCATTATTGCGTTTCGGAACTTCATTCCAAATCACGACTCAAGACAAACAACATGACTCCAGCTATCTGAAAACGTACGAGGCACTAACATGCATAAGGTAATGGTGGCAATAGGCCTCCTTGTGAATCGATCGTCCAAGAAAGCACATATCTACCTATTACCACAATACCAAGCAGTACCAGATCTTTGCGATTTAAGGTCTGATTGACATTGAAACTGTTAGGGATAGGCATGTCGCTTACCACAAGGCGCACGGCTTGTTCGTCCTGTCACTAGTCATCAGAAAAAAGTTGCAGTATCACTTTTACACTGTATTTAACGGCCTCCGAGGCCGAACGGTTAACATGCCGCTGCTATGCAGAGATCTTCGGTTCGACTCCCAGGCCGAGAGAAATACGTGTATGGCTTATATTTATTTATCTAGTGAGTTTGGGTGTAATTTGTGGTTGTCTATATGTGGTCCATAGCACCCGCGACACAGGTTTTCCCTAGTGCGGAGCTATGAGTGTGTTGCGCTATTGTAAGTAATAATATTAAGTACCTAATAATATAAGTAATAATATTATTATTTAAAGCCAGTTTTGTACAAAGTGTCCTCTAATCTAAAACCAAAGTAACATGTAGATACGTACTTCAAATATATAGGTATACGGTACTCCATGCGGATTTGAACAGAAGTGGGTCATCGCATTCACATGTAAAGTAACTAGGTATATAATGTCCAAGTAAAGGTAAACAAAAGCTAGGATTTGGGTCTATTGTCAGAGGCTATTGTCAAAGTTGTTGAATAACAGTCGAGGCGGTATTAAGATATACGAATTATTTGTGTGATAGCAAAAGTTTTGCGCTTCTTTGTTAAGATGTATTGGTATATTCGTGAGGTGTAAAAGAGGGACCGGTTGGAAGCACGATTTTTAAAAGTTTGATGGAATGAAACAGCGCTCTTGTTTTATTAGCTCACTCGATCTCAAGTTAGTCTTTTGTTAAAATTTTGTTATCAGGCTAATTTTCAATTTGATATCTTTGTTTTTGACCGATTTTTAAAAAAAGGAGATGGATCTCAATTCGACCGTATTTTTTGTGTAGGTACGTATGTTACACGATTACTCCGGCAGCCGTGAACCGATTGTAATGATTCTTTTTTGTTGGAAACAGTGTACCTCAATATTGGTGTCGTTTAAGTCTGAAGTACATGTTCCACCTCTAAGGGTGGCAAATTAGGGGATGGATCCGGTTTCGCGCGCCTTCCGTTAACCGATTCCTATAAAACTTGGCAAATAGACGTAACTCCAATAAAAAAGCCGATAAGCAAATTTTTCACTTTGAGTTCAGTTTTTTTTTTTAATAAAAAAGTTATAATATAAATAAATACATTCATACACGGACCTCCTCTAAGTATTGGGTTTAGTCCATAGTACAGTACACAACGTTAGCCCAATGAGAGTCGTTCCACTAATCAGAGTAGTTCCCACTTTTCCGTGTGTTGTCTTCTTCTTATATTTAGTATTTGTGGCATATCTAAATTAACTTACTATTGTGGCCCAAAACTCAGCCACGCCGACTGAGTCACCACTAACCGATCGTTTGAATCGCATCTGAAAATCCCCACCTGGACAAATTGTCCTGAGTCCGAAGCCTATTTAAAGACGTCCAGATCGGCCATGGTGATTCCCGATCGCCCATAGCAATGTAAATTTAAAAATAACGAGTGTTGTGAACCGTACTCGAGACTACCTTACCTATTTCTACCGCCAAGCAGTAATGTCAGCATTACTGTGTTCCGGTTTTGAAGGGTACCTAAGGGTGCTGGTGAAGTTACAGGCACATGGGACTTGTTAACTTATGTCTCTGGGTGACAGGCGC